TGATTATATGGTGCTGAAGTGGTGTTTTACTACCATCTCCCTGTCTTCTCTCTGTTATTTATGTTTATCCATAGAGACGACAGAATACATACCTTTCATGCTGCTGTTCCCTCAAGTAACTTTACCTGTGTCGCTCACCGCTGTCTGCCTATCACGTGAAACGGTCACTACTGCTAGAGGCCTGTGGCACTTCTTCTTTTTGCAGCACATGTCTGTTAATGCAACGCATTCATGTCTATGTAGCTCGTTTGAGTATGCACGTCATTTGACCCTGTCGGCCAGCTGATGAACAGCCTATTTGTGTTAAGTTGTTGTTTTCAATAAATTGCCTGCTCACAACTTTTGGTCTCTTGTTCCCATTTCTTCTTTTTGCATTTTGAAGCTCTACTTAGAACCTTCCTAAGATCCAACACTGCAAAATGCAAATTCCTGCAATTTCTTAACTGGTCTTATATCTTTTGTATATGTATATATATGTATACACACACACACACACACACACACGTACATATATATATATACACACACACGCGTGCACATATAGATACACACACACACGTACATATACACACACACACACACACACACACATATATATATATAATTTCATATATATAATGTCAATTTCAGCTTGTTTCCTTGACAGCAATTTTTTTCCTTCTTCAATGGGAAGGTATTCTTTTGTGCGCCCCTGTCTTGTGCTGCTGCAGTGCCTGAATTTCCCCCATGGGGATCAATAAAGAATTATCTCATCTCATCTCATCTCATCTCATCTCATCTCATCTCATCTCATCTCATCATATCTTGTCTTTACAGTAGGACATTGGTCTGTTATGCACTGATTTGCAGGTTGTCAATATATATATAAAACCAGTCCCTCTCTAAAATTGTGAGCATGCTTAAAAGTAAGTAAGTTATGTACTGATTGGCTTTATTGTCTGTATCTTGATGATATTTAACTGCTCTTTCTGCACAACTTCAAGAACTGCTGTACGTTTGGGAAAGGAAGAGTCAACTCTCATTTGTAGAATTTCCAGATGTCATCAGTGCACATTGATTATGTTCAGTTAAAAAAAAGTGGTATTGATGAGATTTGAAAGAGAATGCTTTCCCTTTCCCATAGACACAAAGACGATCAAAAAAAACAAAAAACAAACAAATAATATGGGACGAATTCCAAGAGACTATAAGTGAAGTTATTACATAAACCAGGTACAGAAAACTTAACATTAAATTTAATCTTTTCCCGTCTGTCTGAACAAGGTACTTTAAAAGTCTGTTTTAAAGGACAAGCTTTCACAATATAAAATGATTGGACAGCATAGAAGTCCCTGAGATGTAACTGCTGAATAATTATACACTCTTTCATTCACACAGGAGAGTTTTAGAAAGATGACACATAGAAAGTGCGAAGGCAGAAGTTGGAAATCTAAGTCCCTATTTTGTTTCATTGTACATGTATGTTTTATAGTTACTTTACACAAAATAAAAATCAGCATTTAACAGCAATACATTGTATGTATATTCATCTTTGGCTCAGTCAGAAAAAAAATATTTGAAATGCATACAGTCAGTGTAGTCGTCACTCTGTCATGAGTACAATAAAGTGTTTAGCACTCTGTTCGAGTCGCTTATGGCTTTATACTTAAACCACATTGAGTAATAAACCTCATAACTCACAGCCTCTTGTAACATATGAACTAATAATAATTCTGCATTTACAACTCAGCACTTAAATTATGTTACCGTATTAATCTGGTCATTTCAGAACTTGTTGAGATCTTTATCCTGATTGACTAATAAAGACACAATAGAAGTGAATTGTTAATGAATGTGTTTGTCTTTTCTCCCTGTTTACAGAAATAAACATGTCAAGTGTGTAGAAAAACTGTTGACACTTTATGTCACCAAAGAAAAAACCATGCAAAGTGAAGAAAAATAAATAAAACCTTTACCTGCTAGTGCTGCTACTCAAATAGCTGATAGTGGTGTTCATTGTGGAGCTTAAGCTGCTGAGGCGGATGGCCAAATTGAAGAAGTTATCAGCTCTGAGTCCAATTTATTTACACGCGATTAACAAGACCTGAGAAATGCGTTGTTCGTAAAGAAAGAGAATGTGTTGAAGTTTCAACACCTTTTTAAGTATAGCCCCATCCCCAAACCAAGTGTCAAAGGGGCTTGTGGGCATATGTATGAACGATATGGTTTTAGCTTCCTGTTAAAACTTCTGATACCTGATATTCAAGCGAGAGAACATGAACCTCAGAACCACAAGTCCATGCATGCAATCGTCAACATGACTCGGACCAGAACTGAGGGTGCACATAGCTTGAGACTTGCAGAACTCTGCATGTGGTTTTTGTGCATTTAATAGGTGATACTACTGAAACTGTCGTCGGTGCAGTCTAAACTGACAGCTGTTTCAAAACAGCACAGCGTGTACAAAGTAAAATATTTTTTTAGAGGGGAAAACTTCCGACTAATACCTAAAGCTCAAACTGAGACATCACTATTGCATTTTACAGATCTTAATGTTTTTATGCATCATTTTGATTCAGTCAGCAGCTGAATTTTGGGCCTGTATGACCAAACACTGTCTTTGCAAGTCAAATGGGTTGTTTTTAGATGATACAGGGACTTTGCTCTGCAGACTTCTTGTCAAATAATAATAAGCTTCCAAGAATGGCAGCGTGAAAATGGTTTTGTCACTACAAGGGTGATGCGCTGCTGTATGATTATCTTAACTTTCACATACATAGCAGCGCGCCGCCCCCCCCC